AAATGGGGTGAGGGAACAGGGATGGGGTGGAAAAATGGGATGAGGGGAAACTGGGATGAGGGAAACAGGGATGAAGGGAAAACTGGGATAGGGGGAATAGGGATGGGGGAAAAATGGGATGGGGGGAATCAAGGATGAGGGAAACTGGGATAAAAGGCAATTAGGGATAAAGGGAAAACTGGGATAGAGGGAAAACAGGGATGGGGGGAACAGGGATAAGGGGGATAAACATCAATTTTTAGATCCAGATCCAGGCTTTTCTATGGAAATCCAGAATTTTCCATGGAAAAAAAGAGAGTTTCATGGATACAGGTGTGGATCTGAGTCTGTGCAGGTAGAGATTTACAAGGAGATAAAGATTTTTAGATGGAAATAAAGATTTTTATACGGAGATAAAGATTTTTATATGAAGATTTTATATGGAGAAATAAAGGATTTATAGAGAGATAAGGATTTTATATGGAGATATGGATTTTAATATAGAAATTATAAGGTAAATATTATAAATATTATTATAAATATTATTATATATAATACATAATTGTATATTTTATTATTATAGATAATATAGGAATTATATAAATTATTGTGCTGACTTTAATACATAAAAAATTTGATTTTTTAGACGGAGATAGAGGCGTTTTTATCTGGAAATCCAGAATTTTTATGTGGAGATAAAGACTTTTATATGTAGGATAAAGATTTTATAGAGAGAGATATTTTATAGGGATTTTATATCGAAAAATTGAGTTTGATATCAAGGCAGATACTGATTTTTATACAGGATTTAATGTGGAAATATAGAATTTTATATGGAAAGATAGAATTTTATATGGAAATATAGAATTTTATGTGGAAATACAGGATTTTATATGGAAATACAGAATTTTTATATGGAAATATAGAATTTTATGTGGATATATATAATTTAATGTAGAAATACAGAATTTTATGTGGAAATACAGAATTTAATGTGGAAATACAGAATTTTATGTGGAAATACAGGATTTAATGTGGAAATACAGAATTTTCTGTGGAAATATAGAATTTTATGTGGAAATATAGAATTTTATGTGGAAATATAGAATTTTATATGGAAATATAGAATTTAATGTGGAAATATAGAATTTTCTGTGGAAATACTGAATTTTTATGTGGAAATACTGAATTTTATATGGAAATACAGGATTTAATGTGGAAATACAGAATTTTATATGGAAATATAGAATTTTATGTGGAAATACAGGATTTTATGTGGAAATACAGATTTTTATATGGAAATATAGAATTTTATATGGAAATACAGGATTTTATGTGGAAATACAGAATTTTATGTGGAAATACAGAATTCTATGTGGAAATACAGAATTTTTATGTGGAAATACAGAATTTTATATGGAAATATAGAATTTTATATGGAAATATAGAATTTTATATGAAAATATAGAATTTTTCAGTGAAAATACAGAATTTTATATGGAAATATAGAATTTAATATGGAAATACAGGATTTAATGTGGAAATACAGGATTTAATGTGGAAATATAGAATTTTATATGAAAATATAGAATTTTTCTGTGAAAATATAGAATTTTATGTAGAAATATAGAATTTAATGTGGAAATACAGAATTTTCCGTGGAAAATCCCCACCCTGAAATTCCTTTTTTTTTTGGGAGGAGGGGAATTTGGGGCCGATCGGGGACCATTCCGGGGATTTTCCACCCTGAAATTCCGTGTTTGGATGAGGGCCCGTCCCGTTATCTCCCATCTGGCCGGGAATTCTTGGAACGCCGGGAATGCCGGGCCGTGCGTCAGCGCTCCCAGGGGGCGAATTCCTGCTCTTCCTGCTCCTCCCCTGCCCGGGATTTTACCCCAAACCCTCCCCACAATCCCCAAAAAAATTCCACCTGGAAAACCCTAAAAATATATTTTAAAAAAATTATAAAAAATTAAAAAAAAATGTAAAAATGGCCCTAAAAAAATTAAATGGGGGAAAAATTCCCCTCCCCAAAAATAAGATTGAAAGAGGAGGAAGGTCCTGAGAATAAAAAAATGGTCTTAAAAATCCTCAAAATGGGAAAAAACACCCAAAACACTGGGATAGGAGGGGGTAGAACTGGGAATAAAACTGGGATAGGACTGGGATAGGACTGGGATGGAACTGGGATAGAACTGGAATAGAGCTGGGATAGAACTGGGATAAAACTGGGACAGAACTGGGACAGGACTGGGATAGAACTGGGACAGGACTGGGATAGAACTGGGATAGAACTGGGATAGAACTGGGATGGAACTGGGATAAAACTGGGATAGAACAGGGATAGGACTGGGATGGAACTGGGATAGAACTGGGATGGAACTGGGAATAGGACTGGGATAGGACTGGGATAGAACTGGGAATAGAACTGGAATAGAACTGGGAATAGATCTGGGATAGAACTGGGGTAGAACTGGTATAGAAATGGGATGGAACTGGGACAGGACAGGGATATAACTGGGATAGGACTAGGAAGAGAACTGGGACAAGGCTGGGATAGAACTGAGATGGGACTGGGATAGGACTGGGAATAGAACTGGGATAGAACTGGGGATAGAACTGGGAATAGAACTGGGAATGGAACTGGGAAAAGAACTGGGATAGAACTGGGAATAGAATTGGGATAGAACTGGGAATAGAGCAGGGATAGAACTGGGAACAGAACTGGGACAGAACCAGGCCAACATTCCCAGATTCCCTGAGATCCCTCGGGCAGGATCTGCTCTCCCTCATCCCTGCAGGATCTCCCTCATCCCTGCAGGATCCTCTCCCTCATCCCTGCAGGATCCACTCCCTCATCCCTGCAGGATCCACTCCCTCATCCCTGCAGGATCTTCTCCCTCATCCCTGCAGGATCCTCTCATCCCTCAGGATCCACTCCTCATCCCTGCAGGATCTACTCCCTCATCCCTGCAGGATCTACTCCCCTCATCCCTGCAGGATCCTCTCTCATCCCTGCAGGATCTGCTCTCCTCATCCCTGCAGGATCTCCCTCATCCCGCAGGATCCACTCCCTCATCCCTGCAGGATCCACTCCTCATCCCTGCAGGATCCACTCCCTCATCCTGCAGGATCTCCCTCATCCCTGCAGGATCTCCTCATCCCTGCAGGATCCACTCCCTCATCCCTGCAGGATCCCTCCTCATCCCTGCAGGATCCTCTCCCTCATCCCTGCAGGATCCACTCCCTCATCCCTGCAGGATCTCCCTCATCCCTGCAGGATCTTCTCCCTCATCCCTGCAGGATCCACTCCCTCATCCCTACAGGATCCACTCCCTCATCCCTGCAGGATCCATCTCCCTCATCCCTGCAGGATCCACTCCCTCATCCCTGTAGGATTTGCTCTCCCTCATCCCTGCAGGATCTCCCTCATCCCTGCAGGATCTGCTCTCCCTCATCCCTGCAGGATCTCCCTCATCCCTGCAGGATCCACTCCCTCATCCCTGCAGGATCCACTCCTCATCCCTGCAGGATCCACTCCTCATCCCTGCAGGATCCACTCCCTCATCCCTGCAGGATCCACTCCCTCATCCCTGCAGGATCTACTCCCTCATCCCTGCAGGATCTTCTCCCTCATCCCTGCAGGATCTTCTCCCTCATCCCTGCAGGATCCACTCCCTCATCCCTGCAGGATCCACTCCCTCATCCCTGCAGGATCTCCCTCATCCCTGCAGGATCCACTCCCTCATCCCTGCAGGATCCACTCCCTCATCCCTGCAGGATCTCCCTCATCCCTGCAGGATCCACTCCCTCATCCCTGCAGGATCCACTCCCTCATCCCTGCAGGATCTCCCTCATCCCTGCAGGATCCATCTCCCTCATCCCTGCAGGATCTCCCTCATCCCTGCAGGATCCACTCCCTCATCCCTGCAGGATCTTCTCCCTCATTCCTGCAGGATCCACTCCCTCATCCCTGCAGGATCCACTCCCTCATCCCTGCAGGATCCACTCCCTCATCCCTGCAGGATCCATTCCCTCATCCCTGCAGGATCCACTCCCTCATCCCTGCAGGATTTGCTCTCCCTCATCCCTGCAGGATCTTCTCCCTCATCCCTGCAGGATCCACTCCCTCATCCCTGCAGGATCTTCTCCCCTCATCCCTGCAGGATCCACTCCCTCATCCCTGCAGGATCCACTCCCTCATCCCTGCAGGATCCACTCCCTCATCCCTGCAGGATCCACTCCCTCATCCCTGCAGGATCCACTCCCTCATCCCTGCAGGATCCACTCCCTCATCCCTGCAGGATCCACTCCCTCATCCCTGTAGGATTTGCTCTCCCTCATCCCTGCAGGATTTGCTCTCCCTCATCCCTGAGCTCGCGGCGCCCTCTGCTCCCAGCGCGGGGTTAAACCCGGCCTGAGACTCCAGCAACACTTTCCAAACGTTTTATTTAACCTCAAACAATTTTTATACAATTTAACCAACATTTAAATGTTATTTAAACCCCCTCAAACTCCCCTCACCCTCAGGCCTCGCCGTCTCCATGGCAACGCCGGGGACGCCTTTCAATGTGACACCACCGAGGTGGCCGCGGCCCGGATTGATTTCTCCTTTTTTTTTTTACACCCAAACCCCTCAAATCTCATTTTATTTTTTTCACCCCAAAGCTCCGCTGGTGGCTCTGATGGCTCTGACGTCACTTTGTCATCGTCGCCCCCGGAACGTTTGTTTCCCGGAACGTTCGTGCCCGGGCGCCGTTGCCGCCCCCCCCGGTGAGGGAGGGCACCAAAATGGCGGCGCCCACGACCGAACGGGCCACCTTTCAGTGTGACGTCACCGGTCCCGCCCGCCGCGTCTTGAATTGACTTCTCCTTTTTTTTACCCAACCCCTCAAATCTCATTTTATTTCTTTTCACCCCAAAGCTCCGCTGACGGCGCTGATGCCACTCTGTCATTGTCGCCGCGGAACGTCCGTGCCCGGGCGCGGTTGCCGCACCCGGTGGGGGGGGCAGGCGCCAAGATGGCGGCGCCCATGACGGAGAGGGACGCCTTTCAATGTGACATCACCGGTCCCGCCCGCATTAATTTCTCCTTTTTTTTTTAACCCAAAACCTCTCAAATCTCATCTTTTATTCCTCCCCTAAAAGCTTCTCTGATGACGCTGCCGCTTCGTCATCGTCACCCCCGGAACGTTTGTTGCCCGGAACCTTCGTTCCCGGGCGCGGTTGCCGCCCCCGGTGAGGGGGAGGGCCACCCCAAGATGGCGGCGCCCATTGCCGAGGGGCCCCCCGGGCCCGATCCCGGCCGAGGCTCCCGCGGGCCCGATCCGGGAGCGGCTCCCTACGGGAATTTCCCGAATTATTCCCGGTTCCACCCCCGAGAGCCGCCTCCGCCTCGTGCCCCCCGGGCTGCTCCAGGCGCTGTTCCCCGACCGGCCCCGCCCGCTGCTGGGGCTCGATGTGGGCTGTAACTCCGGGGTGAGGGGACTGGGGGGGATTTGGGGAGATTTGGGGGATTTAGGGGGATCTTTGAGGGATTTGGAGGGATTTTGGGAGGTTTGGGGGGGTTGGGGTGATTTGGGGGGGCTTGGGGGGACTTTGGAGGGTTTGGAGGATTTTGGGAGTGTTCAGGGGGATTTGGGGAGGTTTGGGGGGTTGGGGTGATTTGGGGGAATTTGGGGAATTTTGGAGGGTTTGGAGGGGATTTTGGGAGGTTCGGGGGATTTGGGGAGGTTTGGGGGATTTGGGGAGGTTTGGGGGAATTTGGGGGAGGTTTGGGGGATTTGGGGGCTTGGGGGAATTTGGGGGAATTTTGGAGGGTTTGGAGGGATTTTGGGAGGTTCTGGGGGATTTGGGGGGAATTTGGGGGTTCTGGGTTGGGAAAGGGAAGGGGAGGGGGAAATAAAATGTTTGGGGGGTTGGGGGCACTGGGAGAGAGTTACTGGGGGCACTGGGACAGACTGGGGGGGCACTGGTGAGGGGTCCCTTCCCACCCAACCCATCCCAGGACTCCACGTGCTGGTTTGGATTGGACAGGAGGGCGAAATTCCCGGCTGGGAGGGGCTGGGCTGGATTTCCCAGAGGATTCCCCCAATCCCTGGGAGTGTCCAGGCTGGATCCCCCTGGGACGGTGGGAGATCCATGGTGGGATTTTCCTTGGGAATTCCACGGAGGGGCAGCCCCTCCCTGAGCGTTATCCCGTGGCATTCCCATGGCATTCCCTGAATCCCAGCCATTTTCCAGGAGCTCAGCCTGGCCCTTCTGGGATGGATTTCCCAGAGGATTCCCCATCCCTGGAGGTGTCTGTCCAATGCCAGTGGCAGCTCCATGATGGGATTTTCCTTGGGAATTCCATAGAGAAGGAGCCCTGACTGGCAGTGCCATGAGCGTTATCCCGTGCCATTCCCTGACTCCAGGAGTTCAGCCTGGCCCTCCTGGGATGGAATTCCCAGAGGATCCCCCATCCCTGGAGGTGTACAATGCCAGTGCCAGGTCCATGATGGGATTTTCCTTGGGAATTCCATAGAGAAGGAGTCCTGAGCGTTATCCCGTGCCATTCCCGTGGCATTCCCTGACTCCAGGCCGTTTTCCAGGAGCTCAGCCTGGCCCTCTACCATCACCTCCTGGGCTGGAATTCCCAGAGGATTCCCCATCCCTGGAGGTGTCTGTCCAATGCCAGTGGCAGATCCATGATAGGATTTTCTTTGGGAATAACCCAGACTGGCAGTGCCATGATCGTTATCCCATGGCATTCCCATGGCATTCCCTGACTCCAGGAGCTCAGCCTGGCCCTCCTGGGCTGGATTTCCCAGAGGATTCCCCATCCCTGGAGGTGTCCAATGCCAGTGCCAGCTCCATGGTGGGATTTTCCTTGGGAATTCCATAGAGAAGGAGCCCTGAGCGTTATCCCGTGCCATTCCCATGGCATTCCCTGACTCCAGGAGCTCAGCCTGGCCCTCCTGGGCTGGAATTCCCAGAGGATTCCCCATCCCTGGAGGTGTCTCCAAGGCCAGTGGCAGCTCCATGATGGGATTTTCCTTGGGAATTCCATAGAGAAGGAGTTCTGAGCCTTGTCCAGTGCCATTCCCATGGCATTCCCTGACTCCAGGCCGTTTTCCAGGAGCTCAGCCTGGCCCTCCTGGGCTGGCACTTCCTAGAGGATTCCACATCCCTGGAGGTGTCCAATGCCAGTGGCAGATCCATGATGGGATTTTCCTTGGGAATTCCATGGAGAAGGAGCTCTGAGCGTTATCCCGTGCCATTCCCATGGCATTCCCTGACTCCTGGCCGTTTTCCAGGAGCTCAGCCTGGCCCTCCTGGGCTGGAATTCCCAGAGGATCCCTCATCCCTGGAGGTGTCCAATGCCACTGGCAGGTCCATGATGGGACTTTCCTTGGGAATTCCATAGAGAAGGAGCTCTGAGCGTTATCCCGTGCCATTCCCGTGCCATTCCCGTGGCATTCCCTGACTCCAGGAGTTCAGCCTGGCCCTTCTGGGCTGGAATTCCCAGAGGATTCCCCATCCCTGGAGGTGTCTGTGCAAGGCCAGTGGCAGCTCCATGGTGGGATTTTCTTTGGGAATAACCCAGAGTGGCAGTGCCATGATCGTTATCCCAGGGCATTCCCGTGCCATTCCCATGGCATTCCCTGACTCCAGGAGCTCAGCCTGGCCCTCCTGGGCTGGATTTCCCAGAGGATTCCCCATCCCTGGAGGTGTCCAATGCCAGTGGCAGATCCATGATGGGATTTTCCTTGGGAATTCCATAGAGAAGGAGTTCTGAGCCTTGTCCTGTGCCATTCCCGTGCCATTCCCTGACTCCGGGCCGTTTTCCAGGAGCTCAGCCTGGCCCTCCTGGGCTGGAATTCCCAGAGGATTCCCCATCCCTGGGAGCGTTCAGGGCCAGTGGCAGCTCCATGATGGGATTTTCCTTGGGAATTCCATAGAGAAGGAGCTCTGAGCATTATCCCATGCCATTCCCGTGCCATTCCTGTGGCATTCCCTGACTCCAGGAGCTCAACCTGGCCCTCCTGGGCTGGATTTCCCAGAGGATTCCCCATCCCTGGAGGTGTCCAATGCCAGTGGCAGCTCCATGATGGGATTTTCCTTGGGAATTCCATAGAGAAGGAGCCCTGAGCGTTATCCCATGCCATTCCCGTGCCATTCCCGTGGCATTCCCATGGCATTCCCTGACTCCAGGCCGTTTTCCAGGAGCTCAGCCTGGTCCTTTACTGTCACCTGCTGGGCTGGAATTCCCAGAGGATTCCCCATCCCTGGAGGTGTCTCTCCAAGGCCAGTGCCAGCTCCATGATGGGATTTCCTTTGGGAATAGCCTGGAGTGGCAGTGCCATGATCGTTATCCCATGGCATTCCCATGGCATTCCCTGACTCCAGGAGCTCAGCCTGGCCCTCCTGGGCTGGATTTCCCAGAGGATCCCCCATCCCTGGGAGTGTTCAGGGCCAGTGCCAGGTCCATGATGGGATTTTCCTTGGGAATTCCATGGAGAAGGAGCTCTGAGCGTTATCCCGTGCCATTCCCATGGCATTCCCTGACTCCGGGCCGTTTTCCAGGAGCTCAGCCTGGCCCTTTACCGTCACCTGCTGAACCTCCCCGCCGGCTCCGACCCCTCCCCTTCCTGCCCCGAGGCCGGCCGGGAGCTCAACCTGCTGTGCTGCGACCTCGACCCGGAGCTGATCGGGCGCGCCCGGCGGAGCAGCCCCTTCCCGGCCTCCTGCGTGTCCTTCCTTTCCCTGGATATCATGGATCCCGGCGCCAGGGGGCCCCTGCTGGGCTCCCACCTGCGGCGCTTCGGCCGCCGCCGCTTCGACCTGGTGTGCTGCCTGTCGGTCACCATGTGGATCCACCTGCGCCACGGCGACCGCGGGCTGCGGGAATTCCTGGGATTCCTCAGCTCCGCGGGCTCCGTCCTGCTCCTGGAGCCCCAGCCCTGGAAGTGCTACCGGGCGGCGGCCCGGAGGATGCGCCGGGCTGGGCGGGAGGAGCCGGAGCATTTCAGATCCCTGGAGATCCGCGGGGATGTGGAGGGAGGGATCGGGCGCATCCTGAGCCGGGAGTGCCGCATGGAGAGCCTGGGGTGCCTCGGAAGCACCCGCTGGAAGCGCAGCGTCCTGCTCTTCAGGGCCACGCGGGAATGCGGCCTGGAGTGGCCTCTGGAATGTGGGGAGGAGGGGGGGGAATGTGGGGAGGAGGAGGGGAAGGAATTCCTGCAGATCGGCTCTGAGAGACATCCATGGGGACAGGAGCTCCTGCTCTTCAGGGCCACCCGGGAACGGGGCATGGAGTGGCCTCTGGAATGTGGGGAGGATGGGGGGGAATCTGGGGAGGAAGGGGTGAAGGAATTCCCAAGTCCCAGCTCTTGACAGACATCCACAGCTCCTCCTCTTCACATCCAGCAGGAATTCCTGATTCCCAGCTCCTGAGAGACATCCATGGGACAGGAGTGTCCTGCTCTTCAGATTGAGCAGGGAACAGGAGCTGGAATGGCCTCTGGCATCCAGGGAGTCAGAGGGAAAGGAGTTCCTGATTCCCAACTCCTGAGAGACATCCAGAGCTCCTGCTCTTCAGGGCCACCAGGAATTGCTGATTCCCGACTCCTGAGAGACATCCATGGGGACAGGAGCTCCTGCCCTTCAGAGCCAGCAGGAATTGCTGATTCCCAGCTCCTGAGAGACATCCATGGGGACAGGAGCTCCTGCTCTTCAGGGCCACGCGGGAACGGGGCATGGAGTGGCCTCTGGAATGCGGGGAGGGGGGGGGAATGTGGGGAGGAGGAGGGGAAGGAATTCCTGCAGATCGGCTCCTGAGAGACATCCATGGGACAGGAGCTCCTGCCCTTCAGAGCCAGCAGGAATTGCTGATTCCCAACTCCTGAGACTCATCCACAGCTCCTGCTCTTCAGGGCCACGCGGGAATGCGGCCTGGAGTGGCCTCTGGAATGCGGGGAGGAGGGGGGGGAATGCGGGGAGGAGGAGGGAAAGGAATTCCTGATTCCCAGCTCCTGAGAGACATCCATGGGGACAGGAGTGTCCTGCTCTTCAGGGCCACCTGGGAAGGGGCTCTGGAATGGCCTCTGGCATCCAGGGAGTCGGAGGGGAAGGAATTCCTGATTCCCAGCTCCTGAGAGACATCCATGGGGACAGGAGTGTCCTGTTCTTCACATCCAGCAGGAATTGCTGATTCCTGACTCCTGAGAGACATCCATGGGACAGGAGCTCCTGCTCTTCAGATTGAGCAGGGAACAGGATCTGGAATGGCCTCTGGCATCCAAGGAGTCAGAGGGAAAGGAATTCCTGATTCCCAACTCCTGAGAGACATCCACAGCTCCTGCTCTTCAGATCCAGCAGGAATTGCTGAATCCCTGGATATCCCCGGGGACAGGAGATCCCACTAATCCCAAAACCCTGGTGTCCCAATTGTCCCAACACTCCCTGAGCTCTGGAATCACGGATTCCTGGAATATCCTGAGTGGGAAGGGACCCCTGGTCCAACTCCTGGCCCTGCACAGGACACCCCAGAATTCCCACAAATCCCAAAATCCTGATGCCCAGGAATGTTGTCTGAGCTCTCCCTGACCTCTGGAATCACGGAATATCCTGAGTGGGAAGGAATCCACGAGGATTGAGCCCCCAAAATTCCCACAAATCCCAAAATCCCGACGCCCCGGGATCGTTATCCCGACAGCCCCCCCCTTCTAAAATCATGGAATGCCGGAAGGATCACAAAATCCTGGAATATCCTGAGTGGGAAGGGACCCACAAGGATCATCCAGTCCAATTCCTGGCCCAGCACAGCCCCAAAATTCCCACTGATCCCAAAATCCCAATTCCAGGAATGTCATCCCCGAGCTGTGGCTTCCTGGTATTCCAAGCGCTTCCCTGGGCTCAGCATTCCCGGGAATTGGGGCTCCTCCAGCTCCAGGGAATTCCCCCTTTTGGGAATGAGGTGCTTGGAGTAAAAACCAAGAGAGTTTTATCCTGGAGAGCGGAATCCTGGTGTTTATTCCTGGTGTTTTCAGGGAAGGGAAGGGAAGGGAAAGTTTGGGAAGGGAAGGGAATTTGGGAAGGGAATTTGGGAAGGGAAGGGAATTTGGGAAGGGAAGGGAATTTGGGAAGGGAAGGGAATTTGGGAAGGGAAGGTTTGGGAGAGGAAGGGAAGAGAAGGGAAGGGAAGGGAAGGGAAGGAAGGGAAGGAAGGGGAAGGAAGGGAAGGGAAGGGAAGGGAAGGGAAGGGAAGGTTTGGGAAGGGAAGGGAAGGAGGGAAGGGAAGGGGAAGGGAAGGGAAGGGAAGGGAAGGGAAGGGAAGGGAAGGGAAGGGAAGGAAGGGAAGGAAGGGAAGGGAAGGGAAGGGAAGGGAAGGGAAGGGAAGGGAAGGGAAGGGAAGGAGTTTGGGAAAAGGCACCTCCAGGAGGAGCTCTTGTGTCGCTTTTCCCACCCAGGGGAGCCCAGAAAAACCTGGAATTGCCTTCCCTCGTCCTTCCTGGCACTTCCCTGTTTTCTCCTGCCAGGATAACGGAGAGGGGGGAAAGCAAAGGGCTGGAAAAGAGGAAGGAATCCAAGGAGAACTTGGAGCCACTTCCAGGGCCTGGAGGAGCTCCAGGAGAGCTGGAGAGGGATTTGGGATTTGGGATGGAGGGACAGCACACAGGGAATGGCTTCCCGCTGGGAAAGGGGGGAGTTAGGTGGGATTTGGGGAAGGAATTCCTGGCTGGGAGGGTGGGGAGGGGCTGGGATGGAATTCCCAGAGGATTTCCCATCCCTGGGAGTGCCCAAATCCAGGCGGGGTTGGATCCCCCTGGGATGGTGGGAGGTGGAGAATGGAATGGGATGAGCGTTTGGTCCCTTCCCACCCAAATCATTCCATGAATCCACGCGAAAATCCCGGCGATCCTTCCCAAAAAAAATTAAAAGCCTCTCCCGGGAATCTCCTCCCTCTCCCGGCGATCCCTCGGGAATCTCCGCCCCTTATCCCGTTTTTTTTTTTCTTTCCCCTTTTCCTCCCGCGGGTGGCGCTGGAACATCGTGGAATTCGCACCTTTGGAATGTTCCCGGCCTTTGGAATCTTTCCCATCCGCCCTTCCCTGCTCCCTTTTTAAGGGCATGGAGGAGAATTCCCTGTTTTTCCTTCTCCTCCTGGGATTTTCCTGCTTCCCAAGGTGGGACAAAGCCCGGGAATGTGGCTGGGATGAGCTTTTCCCTCCAGGATCCAAACTCTGCTTTGTGGATTCCCTCATTTTTTGGGAATTCCCCCCCTTCCCCTTCAGGATCTTCCCATGGGATTCTCCCTGAGGAAAAATGGTTGTAATTCCTGCTTTTCCAGCTTATTCCTGGATTTTTTTTTTGTTTTAATCTCTCCCCCCCCTCTGGATTTTGGGATTGCTGGGAAAATTCCATCCCACCCGCTCTGGAATTCCCTCTGGGAGCCTTTGGAGCAGCCAAATCCTCGGGAATTCGACCACAAATTCCTGTGGGGGGAAAAAAAAGAGGGATTGGGAGGGGGGAATCCTCCAGAATTCCATGATGGGGTTGGAATTGGGGGTGGGAATTGGGATCTGCTCCTAAAAAAAGAGGGGGAGGGAAGGTTTGATTGGATATTGGGAGAAATTCCTGCCTGGAAAAGGTTTGGAAGCCCTGGAAAAGCTGCCCAGGGAAGAGGGGGAGTCCCCAGGCCTGGAATTGTCCTGTTTTCCATGGATTTCTCATCCCCAAGGCCTGTTTTCCATGGGATTTATCATCTCCAAGGCCTGTTTTCCATGGATTTCTCATCCCCAAGGCCTGTTTTCCATGGGATTTCTCATCTCCAAGGCCTCTTTTCCATGGGATTTCTCATCTCCAAGGCCTGTTTTCCATGGAATTTATCATCTCCAAGGCCTGTTTTCCATGGATTTCTCATCTCCAAGGCCTGTTTTCCATGGGATTTCTCATCCTCAAGGCCTGTTTTCCATGGATTTCTCATCTCCAAGGCCTGTTTTCCATGGATTTCTCATCTCCAAGGCCTGTTTTCCATGGATTTATCATCTCCCAAGGCCTGTTTTCCATGGATTTCTCAGCTCCAATGCCTGTTTTCCATGGATTTATCATCCCCAAGGTCTGTTTTCCATGGATTTATCCTCTCCCAAGGCCTGTTTTCCATGGATTTCCTGGCTCCAAGTCCTGTTTTCCATGGATTTATTGACTCCTGAGGATTTCCTATGGACCAGGACCTGGAATATCCATGGAATGGGTTTGGGAATCCAACAGATATTCCTGGGATAACTCCTGGGAATTGTGATTGGAGCTTTTCCCTGAGGATTGAGGGTTGAAAAGGGATCTTCCTTAATCCTAAAAATCATTGGATGAGGTTTAGGAATCCTGGGATAACTCCTGGGAATTGTGTGGAGCTTTTCCCAAGGATTTCCTATGGACCAGGACCTGGAATATCCATGGATAGAGCTTGGAAATCCAAGCAGACATTCCCGGGATAACTCCCAAACATTTCCCACGGGCTCAGGACCCTCCCCCTCCCTCGGGAGCCCCAAACCCTTCCCGGCATTTGGGGGTGGAATTCCCGCATTCCAAGCCCCGTTTTCCCGGGAAAAAGGGGCGATCCAGGTGTAAATCCGTCCCTCCCTCCCTCCATTCCCGATTCCCGGGCCAGCCCCGCAGGGCCGGGCGGGGTTTTGGGGTTGTTGCGTCATTCCCGGACCGGTTGGGACCGGTTTTTTTTGGGAGTTTGTTTTTTTGGGAAGTGCTGACTCAGCCGGGCGGGGCTCGGGAGGCTCCGGTGGATTTTCCAGAGGGGCGGGGAGGGAGGATTTGGAGGGGTTTATAGGGAAAAGGGAGGGTTGGGTGAGGGGGGAATGGTCCTAAATCCATCTGGATCTGCTTTGGTCTCCTCCAGATTCCAGAGGGAGGGAAGGAAGGGTTAAATCCACCGAAATCTGGATTAAATCCACTTAAATCTGAATTAAATTCACCAAAATATGGAATAAATCCACCTAAATCGGGATTAAATCCACTGAAATCTGAATTAAATCCACTGAAATATGGATTAAATTCACCAAAATATGGAATAAATCCACCTAAATCTGGATTAAATCCACTGAAATCTGAATTAAATCCACTGAAATCTGCTCTGGTCTCCTCCAGCTTCCAGAGGGATGGGAAGGAAGGGTTAAATCCACCTAAATCTGGAATAAATTCACCTAAATCTGGGTTAAATCCATTTAAATCTGAATTAAATCCACCTAAATCTGAATTAAATCCACCTAAATCTGGAATAAATCCACTGAAATCTGAATTAAATCCACTGAAATCTGGAATAAATCCATTTAAATCTGGAATAAATCCACTGAAATTCCCATTCCTAGTGGGAGAGGTTGGGGGGGGGGGGAAGTTCAGGTGGGATTCCCTGGATTCCAGAGGATCCAGCACATCCCAGAGCTGGGCTGGGACAGGGAAAGAATTCCAGGATTCCCACTGGGATAATCCAGGGCTGAATGAACTCTGGGATAACCAGGCTGGACAGGGAATGGGACACAGGGAAAGAATTCCAGGATTCCCACTGGGATAATCCAGGGCTGAATAAACTCTGGGATAATCAGGCTGGACAGGGAATGGTCCAGAGGGAAACAATTCCAGGATTCCCCCTGGGATAATCCAGGGCTGAATGAATTTTTGGGATAACCAGGGTGGAGGAGCTGGGATAGGGAATGGGACACAGGGAAGCAATTCCAGGATTCCCATGGCAAATCCAGGGCTGAATAAACTCTGGGATAACCAGGTTGGACAGGGAATTGGACACAGGGAAACAATTCCAGGATTCCCACTGGGAAATCCAGGGCTGAATGAATTTTTGGGATAACCAGGCTGGAGGAGCAGGGAAAGAATTCCAGGATTCCTGTGGCAAATCCAGGGCTAAATAAACTCTGGGATAACCAGGTTGGACAGGGAATGGGACACAGGGAAAGAATTCCAGGATTCCCACTGGGAAATCCAGGCTGGAGGAGCTGGGACAGGGAATGGGACACAGGGAAAGAATTCCAGGATTCCCACTGGGATAATCCAGGGCTGAATGAATTTTTGGGATAACCAGGCTGGAGGAGCTGGGACAGGAATGGGACACAGGGAAGCAATTCCAGGATTCCTGTGGCAAATCCAGGGCTGAATAAACTCTGGGATAACCAGGTTGGACAGGGAATGGTCCAGAGGGAAAGAATTCCAGGATTCCCCCATGGAAATCCAGGGCTGAATGAATTTTTTGGGATAACCAGGCTGGAGAAACTGGGACAGGGAATGGGACACAGGGAAAGAATTCCAGGAGTTTCCCTGGGAAATCCAGGGCTGAATGAATTTTTGGGATAACCAGGCTGGAGGAGCAGGGAAAGAATTCCAGGATTCCCACTGGGAAATCCAGGGCTGAATAAACTCTGGGATAACCAGGTTGGACAGGGAATGGGACACAGGGAAAGAATTCCAGGATTCCCACTGAGAAATCCAGGCTGGGACAGGAATGGGACACAGGGAAAGAATTCCAGGATTCCCACTGGGATAATCCAGGGCTAAATTAATTTTTGGGATAACCAGGGTGGAGGAGCTGGGATAGGAAATGGGACACAGGGAAAGAATTCCAGGATTCCCACTGGGATAATCCAGGGCTGAAAAAACTCTGGGATAACCAGGTTGGACAGGGAATTGTCCAGTGGGAGCTCAAGGGAAACAATTCCAGGATTCCCTCTGGAAAATCCTGGCCCTGTTTCCTTCCTGCCCCAGCTCCCAGGAGGAGTCTGAGGGATCCATTGGAGGAATCCCATGGGAAAAGGGGCTGATTTTCCGTTCAGGATCCCCTCCCAGGGTTTCCCTGACCCTCTTCCCAGAATTCCCAGCATTCCCAGCCCTGTTCCCTTCCTGCCCCAGCTCCCAGGAGGACTCTGGGAGGAATCCCATGGGAAAAGGGGTTGATTTTCCCTCCAGGATCCCCCCCAAAGCCACCCCATTCCCACCA